ACCCTTGATGCAACACTCTGTCAATGCAAGAGCAATGACCGTGGTTGCTCTCCGCCTACACAAGGATCATTGTGTGGATGTGCTCTACTGATGTTACTAACGTGACTTATGATTGTTGGCAAAACTTAGCACAGACTCCATGAGTTACACAAGTTACACTGACCCTATCAGTGGGACAGCTTCACAGAATCATTATTCTAAAATTTTGCAGCTATTACTAAATGCTTTGATAGTATCCAATAGGTCCAATTCTGTTAAACATCCATTCACTTAAGTGGCAATAGGTTCAGGTCTTTAACCTATAGCATCTACAAAAAGCCAATTTGTATTGCTTCAAAATTAACTCATTAGCTTGTAGACATGCCTTACATGTTTATTTCCCATCTGCAAACTTAATTTAGGTCAATGCAAGGCCAAACAAACAAAACAAAAATTGCTGAAGTTTCTGAACTAGCCTATCTCTTCTGTCCATACTCTTTTTGCATGCATTTACAGCAGACGCTAGTTGTGATGGGCTGAGGTTGTGTGCATATATAATCTGTGTATAGCATGCATTCTGAGCTTTGTTAAATTTTTATGGAGTGCTGTTTTGTCATTTTAGAGGTGTCCCTAGTACAGAGCTTCACCTAGAGACTGATGTGCCTTCAGTGTAGAAGATGTTGATTTGTAATATTTACCTGGAGACTGACACACATAATGCAGTTCATGCTTCATCAGTTCTATGATATGAATAAGTGTGACACAGAACACTCTTATTAGCTTGCCCGTCTGTTCACTTGAAATATTAGTCAGACAAGTTAAGTAGTAAGGTACATTAGTAGTGAGGTATAAGAAACTGAAAGCATCAGGTAACGTAGTCTTTAGAGAAAAAAAAATCATAAAGAGAAAAAAACCCAAACTCTTTAGAGTTAGAAAGTGTTGAGTGACTACATAGTATATTGTTTACAACTATGCTGTACGTGACCACATAATTTTGCTAGTGTGTAAAGTAGGTCCTGTAGATGTGTATAATCTCTTACTTTTCCTATTGTTTTGCTTATTGAGGTCATACAAACACATTTTTATTTTCTTCTCAAAGGAACACATGGACTGATTTTGAGTGGAGAAGATATTTCTTCCATTGAAGATATTCGCAAATGGACTATTGATGATGTATACAATTTTATTATTAGCCTTCCAGGTTGTTCAGATTATGCACAGGTGATCATACGGATTCATCATACTTATATTTTTAGATGTTTAAAGATACATGCTATGGGTTTAAAGTTCAGCTAACTCATTTTATCTATTGAAATTAAATAATTATTTATTATCTTATTTGCATTAGAGTAGTATCTTGAGACTCCACTATACTAGGCAGTGTATAACCATGCAATAAAAGATAGCATACAATGGAGGTTAATGCTCCGTCTGTGGTTGTATGCTGCAATACAATGTGTTCTATCATGGTGTAATACAAGAATGTGTATAGCAAAACAACTGTAAGAAAAGTGTTTTAAACCCCCACACTCTGCCAGGATAGCACTTGCATAACTCTCAAACAGGCAGAAGCAATTATATATTCTTGTGAGGTTAAGCAGTGTTTTAAGTAATAGTGAAATTACTTCACTCAAATTTATGAAATATCTTAAGCAGTGTAAACAGGAGGCTGAAAATTACATATTCATGAATAATGAATTAGACATTAGCCTCCCTTTATTTGATCACTTATTAAATTAATACAACTAAATAATGTTGCAACATTATCCAGCAAGAATTCAGTGAGTGCACAAGTCAATGTGCTGGAGGCACAGATGATTATGGCTACATCCATCTGCTCTCAGATTAATATAAAGTTGAATTACTAACATTTTATTGTTTCCTGTCTTTAGTGTCTGGATATCAGGATTAAAATTAGGGATATTAAAATTTGTAACCGATGAAAATTGTAGAGGTTACATGGTAACATGCGTGGTGGCAGCCAGCTCCCCAGCAGCTTTTAAGCTGGCTCGTGGTGCATGCTGGCTGCTGCCCTGCACTTCTGCCTCTGTGTCAGAGGCAGAAGCACAGAGTGGCAGGCAGTTCCCAGGAACTGAACCAGAACTCACATGTAGCTGTGTGGCAGCTGAGATAACAGATAAGCTTATGCTTATCAGTTACCCATTTACAAGGCTACACTCTTAGGGTATGTCTACACTAGCCACCCTAGTTCAAACTAGGGTGGCTAATGTAGTCATTTGAACTTGCAAATGAAGCCTGGGATTTTTGCAGGAGGAGAAATGGTAGTTCAAATTAGGATCTTTAATTCAAACTACCTAGCCCGTGCCGCGTGTAGCCGCGGGCAGGAGGTTTGAACTACCAGTCATTTAAAAATGGCGGCACCCAGGAACATGCAAATAAAGCCCCGGATATTTTAATCCTGGGCTTCATTTGCAAGTTCAAATGACTACATTAGCCACCCTAGTTCAAACTAGGGTGGCAGTGTAGACATACTCTTACATCCCTAATTAAAATAGAAGATATAAATGGGTCTGTTTTTAACAAGCCATTATGTGTATTTTATTGTTTGATAAGGTATTTAAAGATCATGCTATTGATGGAGAAACCCTGCCACTTCTCACAGAAGAACATCTTTTGGACACAATGGGATTAAAACTTGGACCAGCACTAAAAATTCGATCTCAGGTATTGAAATGCTACATGAAATGGGAATTAAATATTTGTGTTGAATGGGAAAGTGACAAATTTTATTTACTTTCTTTGAAGTTATATAATGCTCTTATTCATAAAACATCTGAAATAGTATTGTGACAGGGTGCATTAACTAGTCTTAGGATAAGAAGCAATGCGTTTAAATTGCAGCTAGAGAGGTATAGATTAGGGATGTTAATGACTAGTCGACTATCTGATAAGCAAATGCTCATCAGATAGTCAACGGGATAGTCAACTAGTCACTTCTCCCTACCCCTCAGACAGAGGCAGCAAGGAGGGGGGAACCCGGGCTCCATGTGGTGCTGCTACTTTGAAACGGCTGCAGCGTTTCAAAGGGGGTAGTGCTGCACAGCTGACCCTGGGCTCCGTGCAGCATTTCCCCTTTGAAATGCCGTGGTGCAGAGCCCAGAATCAGCTGTGCAGCACTGCCCCTTTGAAACGCTGCGGCAGCATTTCAAAGGGACAGCACCACTCTACCGACTAATTGAATAGTCGATACAAAAATGCATCGACTACTTGATTAGTCAATTATATGATACTTAACATCCTTAGTTTAGGTTGGATGGACATTAGGAAAAACTTCCTAACCTTCAGGGTGGTTAAATACTGGAATAAATTGTCTTAGGGAAGTTGTGGAATCCCCATCACTGGAGATATTTAAGAGCAGGTTAGATAGACATCTATCAGGGATGATCTAGATGGTACTTGGTCTTGCTGTGAGGGCAGGGGACTGGACTTGATGAGCTCTAGAGGTCCCTCCTAGTTCTAGCATTCTATGATTCAGTGGACAGCACATGAACTTCAATTCAGCTTCTCTTTGCTTTTCATGAGTCCCCAGGGGAAGAACTATGAACAGCTGCTTGAGACAAAATGAAAGAAGAGAATATGTATGGGAAGGATGGGATCTAGTCAGGGTCATTGAATTGGGTTGAAATTCAAAATGAGAAAGATTTGATCAATTAGCCAATCTCTCCTACATTTCCCTCCCTCCATTGACCAATGGAGGATTGTTCTCTACTGTATATTCTCCAATGCTTTGACTTGTCCCATTAAAAATAACCCAAGTGATGAAGCTTCCATCACTTTCCTTGGGACACTATTCCAGTTTTACAGATGGGTTTTCCTGCCCCCTGGTTACAAATTTTCTGTTCTTAATTTCTTCCACTGACTTCAAATTTGTTCGCATTTCAATTTGTCTCCTCTGTCTTTCTCTTAATCCACATTACTTTTTCTCTTCTTAACCCTTGTATCTCTCATTCTCCTCGTATTAAAGCTATTTCTCTCTTTTCTCAATCATTTGTCTTATTTACTAACAGCCTGATATTATACATGCTAAAGAGCACCACCTACTGGAAAAGGAGTAAGCTGTCTAGATTCATCAGGGTGCTTGCTCCTGCAGATTGTTCTGAGAACAGCCAATCAATTTAGCAAAAGCTGGGCATAGATGAAATGGAGAGGCAAGACATTGGAGGTCATTTCTGAACTTTTGCTAACCAATCTTAGATTTGGCCCTATGATATGGCTAGAAGCCACACAACTTGAAGGCTCTGAGGCCACGTCCCTATCAATCCTGCGGATAATCTGGACCTAGATTCAGATTTAAGATTTTGTTGAACAATTAGTTAAAATGATATTATTTGGCGTAATTACAGTAATGATTTATGTCTTTAAAGGTGTCTCGAAGGCTGGGCAACATGTTCTACATGATGAATATTCCTCTGTCCATGCCCCTTCCTTCTGCTACAGGCAAAACATCAGATCAACCCTCTGACATGGGCTCTCCTATGCACTGCAATAGCATTGCTGATACACTGGGCAGTCCCGGCTCCCAGGACCCAGAAACTTCAAAAACAGTGGAGCAGACTGTTTCAGAAAACAGAGATAATCCATGTGACACAGCTGGAGCCCAGCTTGACTTTCAGATCAACTTTCAGAAGAGCTGAGCTGAGTCCAGCAAATACAATGTTTTCATTAGTATGATAGAACCCGTATGTTACAAATGGTTTCAGGGGACTTTCATGAAACCAGGGATGGTAAAAAAAAACCCCTCCAAATGCAGAAGGATTTAGTAAGGTTTTTTAAAAACATTTTTTTAAAAGTGTAGATACATATCAGTGCAATTAATTTCAAGTGCAATTCATACAACTGAATATTAATGCAATTAAAGCCAAAATTTAAATAAAAACTCCAAAATCATCATTCAAAACTGTTAGGGATTCAAACAATACTGTCTTAGATCTTTGTCTACAATAACACCCTTCATTGATCTATTCTACGTGACTTCAGCCAACACATAGTAACATACTTACTGCTGTGTCTTGTGTGCGGTAAGGTTAATGGGCGCTGCTCTCCCGTTGATGCTAGCTACTCTTCTCATCCTGGTAGAGAATCGGTGTCAACAAGAGAGTGCTTGGAGATTGATCTATCACATCTAAGCAGACGTGATATATCGACAGCTGGTGGATCGATCACTGCTGCGTTGACCTGCAGTATAGTGGAGACAAGCCCTTAGAGTTTGATCCTACAGGCTGCTGAGTACTGAGGAACTAGGTGTGTGAGGGAAAGGGACAGCACTGAACAATTGACATTTCTTAGTGATTTCTGTTGAGAACCCAATTCTGCTTCCACAGAAGTCAATGGAAAAATTCATATGGAATTTAATGGGAGTAGACAGAGCTGTCCCTTTGTACCTATGCAAAATATACAGCTGCGTAGGGTATCTGAAAATTTGGGGTGCCACTGCAAGTTAATGTCCCCCAATTCACCTCTTTCATTGCTGTTCTGTGGCTCTGTTTCCTCTGGAAAGGATTAGTTTACTTAAGAGAGAAAAAGCTTGCCAGAACTAGCAGAACATTGAACCTGTGAAACAGCCCTTCAAGTGGTAATAAAATAATTTAACAGGCATTTGACAAAACCAGGTATATGCTATCAGTTTCTGAATTTACTATTTTAGTCTACAGGACCTTAGTTCAAAATCTGCTTTAAAATAATTCATTAGTGTTTTGCTGAAAATTATAAAATCACATCACTACAAAAACATCATTCCACCACCCCAGGCGGCTATTGGGCATAGAGGCACTAGTTTAATACTACTGTGTAGGGCCTCATAAGTCCTAAGGATGGCCCTAGGAGTATATGGGATCACTTTCAAATCACAGAGAAATTTGCTTATTACTCTGCAATTTGAGTAAATCTCAATGATTTTCCTAGACTGAGCACTTGCGTGTAGTGGAAAAGTGGATTCAGAGCTTGGGCAGAGCAAACTGGTTAAATTCTGGACATTAAAATGATGCATGCAACTGCCATATCCATACGCCCATTGCTTCCCTGGAGTGCTACTTTGCCTGACTGCATCTCTCAGCTGAGATTAGGAGAAAATGAGAGCAGAGGCTGTCATGAAGACCAACCACAAAAGAAATGTTTCCCAGTTCTTGCAGTTGGCTGGCTGAATTCTTCAGTCATAACTAATGATCTTTCAGCAACACCCAGTCCTCATGTCTTAATTTACCTTATTAGACCATTTATTAAAAAGCACCATGCTCATCAGCATACCAGTTGAGTATAACACATGTCACTTATTTTAAAACCAAATTTACCTTTGTTCTATTTGGCATCCCACAAGGATCATGAATTGAAGATTTTAGAAAGGGATGACTCTTCAGAGCATTTTGGGATGTTTCCTATATTAATTATTTTGTGCATTCTTCACTATAGGTTTTTAATTACACACTTTGTCCCACATTCAGGTCATGGCAAGTGAGAGGTATGGTGGCTCTGCAATGCTCTCTTCCAGTTTCATTTACATTCCTGCAGGACTGAGCTCTTATGCCAGGAAACACAAATATTTTGGATGAAATTAAATTTTGTAAATTGAGGGTTGATAAATTAGAGGTTCTACTGTATGTCATGAACAGTCTCCTCCCTCAGTCTAGTTGATGCGGCCTTGAGTAATTAAACAAAAAGAAAATTGATGCTTAGGACAGTAGGTGTCTAAGTATGTTTTTAGTTTGCCATGACTATGACAGGGTGGAGGGGGAGGAGTAATTAAACATTTTAAATTATGGGTATCTGTTCATTTGTTTTACTTTTAGGTAAAAGAATATGTAATGTCTTTGGTACATAGGTGACACATTTGTGCATCAGATAATGTGTGACATGACGCTAACAGCAACTAAATGAAGATGCTTATCTTACTGTATTGTACTATTCATACTGTATGGCCTTCAGAAGTGTTCTCTCTCTGAAACAATGAAGTTGTGGGCTAATAAGAGTAGGGTCCTGATTCTGCTTTCAACATGAGTTTTGTCATTGACTTCTAATGGATTCAATACTGACATATTTGTGTATTTCTCTACATAGTATAACTAAGGTTTCTGACTTTAGTGCTAAATAAAAAAAATCCCTCAAACTCTACCATGTGTCATATATAGCAGAATACCCCCAAATCTGACATTTTTACTATATTTAAAACTATTTATAGTGCGGAAGAACCCTAAAGGCCTCTCATTCTCACTGGGGCCCCAAACCTAATCCTTTTGAAGTCAATGAGAATCTCTCTATTGACTTTGGGTTTTGGATCAGGTGTTTGGAGCTCATCCCTGGAAGTACAGGGCTACAAAAGGAAACAATCTTTAATATAATAAAAAAATCCAAGTTTTTTAACTGAGATTTAAAAAAAAAACTCTTATTGTTTACTCCTAAAATATGAGTTTAAAATGCCCTAAAAATAAAAAACCTATAATCAGAAAAAGAACCCCTGAAACTGGAAAGCCTAAGTATAACTCCATAAGATTCTCTAGAAAAACAAAGACAAAAAAAATAAGTATTAAACTTAGAATGGCAATTCATTTGCTGTTTAATTTTTCTCAAATAACTTTAGCAATTATTGATCTCTACCCTTTTCATTAACTTCTGTGTTTTTCAGGAAAATTTGGGGGATGGGGTTGTGAAAAAAAACATCAAATTTTACTTTTAAAATGTTTGGATAAGAGACAACTGTCAACTTAAAAAAAAATCACATTCTTCCTGAAACATTTACCTAGATAGTAATACCTATGATTACTAAAAATGAAACGCTTAAAGTAAAAAATTATTCCTTACTCAGTTGTGCTCTTGACAGCTGTTTATTCATCGTAAGTTTCACTGTAGTCAACTTTCTATTTTTGTAGTGTTTCAACATAGCAACAGGGGAGACAACTTAAAAAAAAATGCAGTTGTAAAACTACAAAAAACTGCTAAGGGTACTCAGAGACAGGTGTAATACTGAAACTATTTACAGCTGATTTGTGGTTTTGTAAAATTGGTATTTTCAGCTGGCAGTTTCCCTTTATACTTAACAAAATAATGAATGCAATGCTCTTCCAATTGCTTCCCTTCCTTCTTATTGTATAGGGCATTCAGTTTGTGAGTTAATTTTAGGTTGCAAATCTTTCAAACTTGTACTTTCATGAAATCCTTAATGTTTTTCTTTTTATATGAAAAGAGTGTATGCAGTCCCCATGAAATTCCTCCCCACGCTGGTGCGTAGTGGTTTTCTATTCTCGAGTCAATTGGACACAAAATGTTGCTGCAAAGCTTCGAAAGGTTAAGGTGACAACTCTTTGCAGCTGAGCACAAGCACCTTTGTAGCACCAGTGTATGTTCACAGCTTCTAAGCTAGTTTCAGGTTTTTTCAAATCGCTCCTGGCTTTTATTCTATTTGACTAATTCTGACGGTTTTGCTATTAGTATAACTGTGGCTAGGGATAAATCTCTCTTCAGCTGTATTTGCTGTGAAAACACCTGTTAACCCAATAGCCAGCCTGTCTCTGATTCATGTTTTGTATTCCTAAAATCAGTTTTCAGCCAATGCATGCAGCCGGGTAGGTCCTGTAGCGCTGCCCCCTGGGGCAGCAGGACCAACCCGGCAGCACCCCAGCTGTCCCTGATTTAGCCACTGCTGAAACTGACCAGAGGCTGACTCCAGGAAGCCCGAGGCAGAGCTGGTCAGTTTCAGGAGCAGCTGACTTGGGTACACCTGGGACAGAGCAGCTGGGATGCTGTCGGGTTGGTCCCCGCAGCGCCGAGGTGCGGCGCTGCGGGG